TGTGTGAGAGTAAGCTGTGAACTTTTACTACAATAATGCACTCAATTCACTTGAGTGTTTGAGTTGACCGATGAAAAAAGAATCGAGCAGGAGGCCTATGAAAACAGTATATGATACCTCAAATACCAGTTTTGAAACTGGCACCCATTCTACCTTTAGATATGGTAATTCTAGAGGCCACCACTGGTTTTACCTGCCTGTGGCATGCATTGGTTTCAAAACAATCTGTATCTAAAAACTTAAGTCAGGAATGAAGAGGTCCAACTGTGATACAACTTTAGTGATACAATTTAGAAATATTTGTCATCCTTTCTTGGAAAAGGATGTGGCTGGCAAGCAAGCTACTCGTTCCAGTTGAAAATAACCACATGAATGATTTCTCCTTTATGGATATATGGAGGAAAATCCTGCTACCATACTTAAGCATAGCTGCCACTGAACAGCTTATGAAGGAGTATAGTCCTCAAACCCTGGCATATTCACTGAAGAATTTTCTCCTCCTTTCCTCTTACGATGGCATTATTCCTGTGTATATATGGAACAAGAAAGCAATGTAGGACTCGCAAAGTAAGACTAAGGAGGAAATAGTAGTAATATTAAGCAGTAGTAATAACAGTATTACTATTCAAGTATTAACAACAATATAGTCTTGCCAAGAGTTTTAAGACAAAACATGTTTAATATACCAGGCATCTGATCATTCTTAACTTGTGATAGTGGAAGTAGGGTGCAGCAGGGTTTGAACTTACAAGAAAATCTGAAGTTGAAAGACAGAAAAAGCCAGATCAGTCAAGTGTCCAGGTCCTGTTTGCTAACCTTGTGTGGGCTACACGTGTGTGAAGGAGCAGACAAGGGCAGGCAACAGAACTCTTGCTTGACTGTTCACACAAGTGCTGCACCCACACTGCTACTTTTTTCTTGTGGGAAATTCCGCTTAGGCTATAGTACTTCTCACTAAAAACCAACCTGATAAGATATAAAACACAAGATCCCTTGTACACAGAAAGTGGGAATTGCTTTAAGGAACAAGCCTTCTCCTGCCATACAGACCACTACTTTGTTCTGCATATGCAGCTACCACCCCTTCTAGCAGACAGGCCTAGAGGAGGTTGTTTCTGTTGTGACTAGATCAAGAAATTGTTCATCATGCCATTCTTCTCTCCCTTTTCCTGAGGCTAGCCATATATCTACATCAGAATGATTCTCTCCCAGAGCATATTAGATGCTAATTTAGGCATGGATAGGGGGCAGAGGCAGTGCAGGGAACTGGCAGCAGAAAAAAAATGCTATCTTCATTCTTGGCTCAATAGGAAACATTTTCAACATTTTAGTCCTCACTAAAGTCTTGTATACCACTGCAGGGTTGATTGTGAAATAGAGGATTTGATAGAGAAGAGATAATTGTGTAGATAGAGTTGCAGGTTGCTATACTAAAGGCCTATCTACATGAGTTAGACACACCTATTTGTCAGATTGTTTTTCTAGGACCTTGCAGAATCAGTCATGGCAGACCCAGAAGCAGCTCCTGTGCTTTGCAGGGTGCAAGCTAGAACAGTAGAAATTGGTTTGCCTTAAAACTTTGAGACTCTTTCAAATTAGAGGAGTACACTTTCCAAAAGCTGCTGATTGCTACTTGAAAGCAGCTTTTCTCCTGTTTGTCAACAGGATTAGTATGGCAGCCTGCAATCTATAGCATTGACATTATTGGTTGTTGAACCTCAGCATTAAATAAGAAATGAATAGCTAAGTTCTACTGTGGCATGGTATTTCATCTGATAAAAGAGTAAGTGCCAAGGAGGTAAGGTAAACCACTGAGCTCATTACCTGACCATGTCTGCTTACCTAAAATAGATCCATTTCTCAATATCTGTAGATATTAAGTATGCATTATATGCTGACTGGCTACATTTAAAGACTTAACCAGAGGAGTTTTGAGACCCAGAACTGAAAGTCTTAACTACTTTTCAATTGACCTCTGGTTCCAGGAAGGAAGCCTTGCCCTGGATCTGTGAGCAGAGAGCTCTGTAGCCAGAAAAATGTGCCCACTTAACACGTGGTAATTGGCCACTGTTGTAGAGCAAGACAGGTTCAACAGCAAAACAAGAATGCCAGAGGCAAGAGTTGTTTTGAAAGAGGAATATACCCACGCCTGTCCTGTGGGAAAACTCATGCCTAGTATGATCAGATTCCAGGATGCATTACTTACTCCACTTAAGCAACTTCAAATAATTTGGGGTGGATGTGTGGGTGTGTGTGTGTTAAAAGCCATACAGGGCAGTTTATTCTGAAAACTCTTAAGTTACTCTAAAAGCCTTGGAGGGGATTCAGGGCTCTGCACAATCTCACTGCAGCTAAAATACTTGGATGATGTGTTTAACACAGCTGAGCCAAAGCCAAGCTGTCTTTTGACAGTTAAAACTCCTGCCTGTTTTCACATAGGAGAGGTTTGCCAAGCTGACCAACTAGTAAGATGTTTTAGTTGCACAGAAAGGAACAAATGCTAACAAGCACACAGAAAGGACAAAGTTAGGTCCTTACATCTGAGTAATTTATTTAAAAATATATAATTAGGTTAACTCAAGATTCAGAGTCTTCCTGTTTAATTTGTTCTTTACTAGTTAGTCAAAGCTCCCTCCAACTTTTCAGATAAAATATTTCAAAAATTATACTAACCTGTTTCTGCCAAATGTATTTTAATAGCATTAATGAAAATTATTTAACTCCTTAAATAGTAACTAGATGGATCATATGCATTTAAAAAAATTAACATTTCTTATTTCTGTGCCATGCCTTTGGACTAAACACATTATGACTGGAGAACACTAGTTACTAATTTAGAATATCAAACACAAGCAGTCCAGTTCGTCTTAATTCATCTTACCAGTGGTTCAGAAATGCTTTTAACTTTTATGGATGAAACTATGCTGCAATATAGGTTAACTCTCAGATGATATGCTTCTGACAAAATCCCTAGTACTGAAGTTAGATGTCAAGGCCTCTTGTGTATTAAGAATGCCTAAGAATGATAGTTACCAAGAAGGCTGGATCTAAACCATGGTCTGGTGTCTGGTTAAGTCAGTAAGTGTTCTGCAATAGGTAGCCAGTAGCAGATGTTTCAAAAAGATTGTGTCAAGCGTAGATTATCTCCCTCAGAATTCCCCACTTCTCTGCAGCTCTTAAAGTGAAAAATCAGATGTTTATAATCAGAGGTGGAAAGAAAGATCACAGTCAGAACACCTTAAAGCAACATTTGCTATTTTAAACAAGAGATGGCAACTTCAGTCCCATTTAAAAGCAGGAATTCACAGTTACACTACCTATTGGGAACATCAGTGATTCCACGAAGTAGGTAACTAAGCCTAAGCATAAAATTTTGACTCTGAACTCTGGTTATCCTAAGTGTTCATCTAGGATAACTGAATTTCTTAACTTTAGCTTTTAGCTGTAAAACTTGAGAGACCCTTTCCATCCTTCATCCAGCTATGGTAAGCCATCAACACCAAAAGAGATTTAATTCCACACCTTTTGCTTCTTAAATTGAGCAGTCATGCGGAAGTGGCTTAAAAAGAAACTGGTTTGCAACTTAAGCCTATTCAAGTCTTTCAGCCAAAGTCAGTTTTCTTCCAAGTAGAAAGGCAAAGCAGCGATTCTTTACAGTTCATCTATACCACCACTCAGTAGAACAGGTCTTGCATCTGCTTTAAGAATACGAAATTTCTCTAAAGCTTAAGTCCTTCAGCATAAGGGGACCAGTCAAAAATTCACCCAGTATTACTTTAATCTTTGCTTTTTAATTACATTTGCTTTTTAATTGAATTACATTTAAAAATACTGGATATATTTTGACATTACACTCTACCCTGAGCAATATGCTGGCTAGCTAGCATGTTATTGGCATCATAATGAAGTCACTTTGGAAGTGATTGAAACACTTCCTGCGCTTGACCACAGATAGGGCCCACACTTAAACAACACACATTAAAAACAGGACCACAATCAAGCAAGGGTTAAGAGGTACCAACACATTCTTGTCAGGCACTCAGCTTCTTCCAAAAAACCCCACCCAAAATGCAGGAGTTGAAAGCATCTAAAAAAGTTACTTACAGCAGGCCAGCATGGACAGCAGCTAAGACTTCCACCTTCATCAGATTCCATCTTTCAGAGAAGTGAAGAACATACCATAGGATCACCATTTGAGATTTAAAGGTGATTTATAGCCATCTTTGACAGCTCAATGCATTACATGATACAAGGCAAATATACTGTACTGAGGTATGAAGAGATTCTTCAGTGTTCAGCAAGTCTATCCATTCTCTGTTCCTAATTTAAAAACTTCTTAAGCAGGAAATTTGATATCACTACCTGCACTCTCACCACATTTTAATATGTAAAAAAGGCAAGTGTTTATGTAGGGTACTGTAGGTTTAGGGAAAAAAAAAAAAATCAACATCATTTAGCAACACCTTTCTGCGTACACAAATGACTAGATTGCTTAATAGGTAGAGTTGTCAGTGTTTGAAGGTAGCCTTGTTTGCCAGAACAGTATCTGCTTCAATTTATTCCATTTTCCATACAAGCCAAATTTCCAAATAAGTATTTATAGATTGAGTATTTCAAACCATGGAATAACAGCAGAACCAAACAAGCCTAATCATTTTTCTTTGCAGATCAGAAAAATCCCAAACTGTAGTTAAGATTTTTCCAATACAAAAATCCTAATCAATTACATTAGGTTACCTAGTGGCTTACACCATAGGATTCGAGATGGTAGCTGCCCAGCTATATGCTAACACAAGCAACGTAGGCAGTAGGTGTGGACCCACCAAGTTGGCAATACCCTTGAATTCCCCACCCTTTTTACTAGGAAGTCACACAAGCTATCTTGAAGATGCCAGTTTCATTCTGATAGATTGCTCCTTTAAGGTACTTTCAGTAGAAAAGGCAGAACTTTAAAGCATTGCTTCAAATGACATGTTACATATTTAAACAAAAGCAGACTTAACATTTCTGTGCAAATTTAGTTCTTCCACCCATAAGTTAGGAATCAGGTTCAAGAGAAGGTTTAAGTTAACAAATCATGTTAGTTTAGAATTAACAAGTACAGCATTAACACTACAGTCATCTAAGTAGCGCATTGTGGGCTGTGTACTACATTGAGAACTTTTAATATTTTAAGAGTCAGACAGATACGCTATAGATTTAACACCTGCCAAAGTAAAATCTGTAACAAAGTGATTTAGCATTATGCATATAACACTGATACTTAGGCAAACATATACACATTAAACCAATGAATCTGAGGACTGCGAGGAATGTTAGAGCTGGTAGGAGTCTGCTACAAAATTCTTTAGGATGCATTGCTATGTTGCTGTAGATCTTAATTCAGGACACTGGTGAACATCTTTAGCAAGAGACCTTATACCAGCCACTTTAAAGCAAGCAGATATTTCAAATTGGGTTTTTTTGCCGCCAGAAGTTTAATCTTGCTTCACTTCACCCTTTAATTGCCTTTTCATGCGTGAATACGGGCTGATTGTGTCATCCATCACAAAGTCATACAGTACTTTAATCCAAGAGTTATATTGTGGCAGGTTGTCATAGTATTCAGCTGCTATTTTCTTCACCTAAAGAGGAGACACAAGGTTTATTTACTATTTATATTAGCACCAATTGTGACAACTTTACAATTTTCAACCTGTAACTTAATGCAGAGCACTAGAAGTTTCATTTTAGATGTTAGATTCTAAAGGAAAGGCTACTAGTGCCATAATGTGAAAGTTTCTTGAAGGAAACTCCCCGGTTAAGTAAACTTCATGTGAAACTTACGTTGAAGCTAACCAGAACACACACACACCCTCAAGTCCATTCACTGTGGTACCTACAGCATGATGAGGCTCACGAAAGCCAAGAGTTTGGTTGTTAGTGGAAGTAGGTGACCAAGTTCAGTGGTGACTCATAGGTATATGAGTATCACTAAAAAGAGATGGTTTAAGTTCTAGGAAGAGATGTGTAACACAGCTATTTCTAAGTTTCAAACCTCAACACTCATAAGAAAGAACATTAAAGAATGAAGATAAACTGCTTCCTAAGACTTTATTCTCAGATGTACAGGTTGACTAGACCACTTTTTTAAACTAAGAGCTGGAGTTTCAGTTAGAGATCCTTACTGATATTTAAGGCCAATCACATAAAGCCTTAAAAACCTGAACAAAACTGATTTTTCACTAAATTCTATAGCTTTAGACAGAAGACATTATTCTGTATAAGCAACAAACTCAACACATTTGCATGCCTGGTTTGGAGCTGAAGATCATTTTTGATCCATCATCACACCTATAGAATAGCACATCTAGCCAGTGTATTTTTATTCAACATTAATTATTGTCAGCTGACTGGTACCCCAGCTGGAATCAAGTGTTGAGTACTTCAGTGATCTGTAGCACACAGCACAGCAGAGTCCAGTCCAATCAAATTAACTCCACTGCTCTAAAAGGCAGCTTTGTTCTCTTATCAGAGCTGTAGATTAGGAGTGCTGAGGCACAGCTGGGTATTTACCTCTGCAATTAAATACTTGGAAAAAAAATGTTCTATATTTACAGCTGAAGTACTGGTGCAAGAAGTGAAATGCTGGTTCACCAGCACAGATCTGGGTGTCACAGGCGAGTTAAAGCAGCTTTAGCTGTATTTGAAAGATTAAATTTACGAATAAATAAATAAATCATCTTTTTCAAAACTAACAGAAACAAAGTCTCAACAAACCAATTACAGAATGTAACTGCCCTGCTAAAGTAGTACTGGAGTAGTTATTTCATCGGCAATTCCACCACTGACAACAGAAATTACAAGTTTAGGCTCCAAAGGCACAAGCTTACAAGGTCTTACTTTTACCAAATGGAATAACAAAGCTACAAGACCAACACCACAGCTGCTGTCAAATTGCAAACTTAGTACCTGATGAAAAACACTTTTCACTGACGATGAGTTTTAGGTGTAACCCTGGAAGCCTGTGTTACCATGCTCCAACTGGGAAACACATATACAGTAAGAATTAAGCTCCTGCTTAAGAGAAACCAGCAAATATTGAAGTAGGGAGAAACTAGTTTGCAAATTCACATCTGGTACTCACACAGATGTGACAGGTCTAAGTTCACTTTGAAGCCTTAAGTCTGTCAATGTACAGCTGATACTTACTTAGGGTTCAAAGGTTCTCACTAGAGGAAACTGGGCTGCTCCAAACTGGAAAGCCATTAAACATTTGCCAACAGTACAAACATACATTAGCAGTACCTCAAACCCTCTCTTTTCCCTGCCAGAGAATGTCAGCAATAAAAAAGGCTGAAGGATAAGCATGCATTACAGTACTGTCCTTAAGATTTCAAGGACAGAGCCAACAAATCTCTGAATTTATTTCCAACTTCTTAAATAGTTTTCTGCATACTTACAAAGTGAAGCAAGCAGAAGGCTGGTTCTAATTACAGAAAACTAAAGTTAGTGCAAAGCCTAAGACATGCATTCCTCCCCTTTCCTTTTAAGCTGAAGGAGGGTAGATTTAGATTAGGTATTAGAAAAAAATTCTTCACTATGAGGGTGGTAAGGCACTGGAACAGGTTGCCCTGAGAAGCTGTGGATGCCCCCTCCCTGAAAGTGTTCAAGGCCAGGTTGGATGGGGCTTTGGACAACCTGGTCTAATAGAGGGTGTCCCTGCCCATAGCAGGGAGGTTGAAACTAGATGGTCTTTGAGGTCCCTTCCAACCCAAACCATTCCATGATTCTATGATTTATGGAAGATGCTTGAGCAGCCAGCACACTGGTAGCTTGTTCAGGATACCACTAAAATGGTAAGTAATTACCCCCTTCATCACTTAACTTAGAAATTGTTTTCAGGTTTTTTTCTGGAATTTTTTGTTTGCCCCCCCCCCACCCCCCCCCAACTTCCCTTTCTCTATCAGTCTTCTACCTAATTTTCAAGTTAAATTAGGGCTTATTTTAAGGAAAAGTAATAACATTGGAGGTAAACTTACCAGTGGAAGGCTCTTGCCAGGAATATTGGGGAAGTCATGATGTTCATTGTGATAACCAACATTAAAAGTGAGCAAATTAAGTGGCCCATAGTAGGAATACGTCTCATGCCCTTTTAAAAACATGTAATGTTCAGCTATGAAGTGTCCTGAAATTGGGTGCAGCCCAAGTCCAAGTACTGAACCAGCAAGCATGTAAAAAGTGGATTTGACTCCCCATAAATAATATATCACGGCATCAAAGGAAAGCTGAGCCAACAAATTGATTATTTCAAGTCGAGTAATGGGTTTGGGATTGATGCAGAGAGGTCTAATTGCATAGAAAAAAGGCTGAAGAACAATCCATATGAACTTCCTAAAGCGGGTGCAGAAAAACCAGCCTTCAAAGTTGGTAGGAATATCCACATCAATTCCGTCACCTCCTAAATAACGATGATGATCCATGTGGTATCTCTTGAAGGATATGGAATATGGGAGACCAAGAGGGAGGTTGGCAAATATTCCAAACCATCGATTCCACATTGCTCTGCTGTTACCAAAGGCACTATTGTGAGAGATCTCATGAATAGCCAGAGTCATGGAGTGGCTAATACAGCTTCCAAAAACGTATGCCCAGAAGATTACCCATTTCCAGTCCAAGTCTTTAACTAGGTAAAATGCAGTCAACTGCGCAAGAACCATCAGCACAACCACCCAGATCAAGTTATAGTCTGGCTTCATCAACGCTTTTATCTCTGGATGTTTAGCTAGATGGGAAAGAATTAAACAAAAAAGGAATTATTTAGAAGCACTACTCACAGCCAACTATCCCAATTACAAAATCAGATTATAATAATTTCTTCCTTCCAATTAAGATTTGCCTGCAAAGCTAATGAAAACGCACGACTTTTTCACTTGCGACATTTATTGCTATCGTGAATCCTTTAGAATTAAGTCATTCTAGCATTTTTTCTTTTGCTCAGCAAGTAGACATATATGGCAAGAACCAGTAACGCCTCCAGCCTACCCAGGAAGGAAATAGCTCTGAACTGACAACCCACCAGTAATTCCAAACGGCTCCAGTAAGCTCGGGTCCGATTTGGGCGTCTTTCTTTAAAAATGCGGTTATTCACCATCGTTATTGGGTGCCGCGATAACCTCTACGCACGAAACACTATGTTTTTTTAACGACCAGCAGACACCTTATCAATTACTCAGCTTGTTTCCTACCCACACGAAGAGCTCTGCGGAAGCGGGCAGCTCCGGCGGCGGGTGGAGAGCGGCCCCTAG